GTTTTGATTCTCATGATTTCTGTGCTGAATCATGGGTAACGTAATGTTTCACCAGGAGTTCCTCTGTTTAATGATTACTTAAAAAAAAAATAAGTTGAAATCATGTGTTGAAATTACAACACTGTAGCTTACAGTAGGTCTGTTTTGAAAGATTTCTAAGATATTGTTAAACGTCAGTTCCCCTGCGGAGAAAATGAATGGGATTTTTACTTCCACGCCTGTTTGTTTATTTATTTTTTGTTAAAGAAATCAATACTTTTATTCATCAAGGATGCATTAAATTAATCAAAAGTGACAGTAAAGACATTTATAATGTAACAAAATATTTATATTTTAAATAAATGCTGTTCTTTTGAACTTTCTGTTCATCTGTGAATCCTGAAAAATACAATGTATCACAGTTTCCTCAAAAATATTAATGTTTTCAACTGATGATAATCAGAAATGTTTCTAATAATCAGCATATTATTATGATTTCTGAAGATCATGTGACACTGAAGACTGGAGTAATGATGCTGGAAATTGAGTTTTTAATTGCTGAATTATGTAATTTGTGTGCGAGCTTTAAAGAGTAACGGCAGGATTGGCTTGTTTTGATTCTCATGATTTCTGTGCTGAATCATGGGTAACGTAATGTTTCACCAGGAGTTCCTCTGTTTAATGATTACTTTAAAAAAAAAATAAGTTGAAATCATGTGTTGAAATTACAACACTGTAGCTTACAGCAGGTCTGTTTTGAAAGATTTCTAAGATATTGTTAAACGTCAGTTCCCCTGCGGAGAAAATGAATGGGATTTTTACTTCCAGAAGCGACTGTTTGTGAGGCTTCGTTATCTCACCTGTACAAAAATTTTGTATTTTATATTTTAACCTTTTGTCATAATTATAAACGCACTGGTTTGCAGCGCAAATAGTTTAACTGTTTACTGCACTTTATTCTAGTTGTAGTTATTTATCTGTAGCGGCTAATGAAGCAGAAGTCTCACGTTCACAGAAAACCGCTTACTAATGCATTGAAAACGAGGCGTGTCCTGCAGGAGAGACGCTGATGACATCACGGGGTTCTGAACGGGTCAGCATGAATTATTCATGAGCTCTTAAAGACACAGTGCTGTGTTGGCACTCAGTCGGAGTGTCGTGGCGTGTGTCAGCAGCAGGTGTTGATGAGTGCCACTGATCTATTGTCTCCGTGTCTCTCCTGTCTCCGCCGTCTGCGCCTCAGACCCTCTCCACACGTACTTCGGCATCTGCGGCTTGTCTCTGATCGGAGAAGCGGAGCTGCGGAAGGTGCATCCGGCGCTGAACATCAGCATGCGGGCGTTCGAGAGTCTGCGGCAGCTGCAGGGGGCGTGGAGGCAGAAGAGCACGTGACCGCAGACTGACTCCACCGCATTAGAGCCAGCGTGAGCGCTCACACACAAGCTGATGAATAAATGATCGCATCCAGCATAATCTATTAATAAAGGTAAAACTGTCGCTCTTTAGTTGGTTTCGTCCCCGGCTCGTCTGCCAGATTCATCCTTCCTCTTCAAGCATTGTGTGATTAGTTTCTGCCTTACAGACAGATGAAGCGCTCGCAGTGATGCTCATGTTTGTACAGATGAGCTGTTTCTGGAGTAATATGCACTGTTTATCTGTTTTACGCTTTATATATATATACTGTATATTTCCATTTCATACTCTTTCTGTGAAATCATTGTCCTCTCGTGCCTCAGATGTCTTTAGGGTGTTACAGTATATTCTATATATATACACATGGCATCTCCACTTGATTGTTTCAAGGATCAAGTAATGAAATTATTTTTTCTATACTGTAATATCTAGTGTAGGAGTGACAGTCACGCTGCTCATATTTTATTATGATGTAAAGTTCAAGTGCTGAACTGACGGGCGGCGAGTGTCAATAAATGAAGAGCTTTTATCATGTCCCAGAAATAAGCGTTTATGGCAGTGCTGGTGAGAAACAAGTATTTAATAACGGTTAAATAAAAGAACTGAGTTTTCAACATGTCTGAGATTTCTTCAAGAGATTTAGCCATTATTCTTAGTCACCTCAGGACAAAAAACCCTCTGTCAAATATTACATTATATAATGTATATATATATTTTAATGACATTTTGAGGAATATCATGCATTAAGGGTTGTATGCATGTTAATTAAAATGTGTATGAGCAAAGATCACCTTGTTAAATCATTAACCTAAAATTGTATGAACTGAATAAGACGTAGGTTTTATGAGCTGAAATAAATGCAAAAATTCAGAGTTCACTCGTTCTTTATTTTTATATTGTCAGTTTTCTTTTTAATTTTAAATAGTTTTTCTTAATGTCTATATAGTTTTTATTTGTTATTTCAGTTTTAGCTTTAGTTATTTTATTACATCAAGTTAAACTAAATGAAAATGAAATGTTGCTAAAAATTAAATTTTGTTTTTTTGTTTTTTTATGTCATTTTAGCTTAACATTTCAACTACAAAAAATGTGTTTTATGGTTATAGTTGAACTATAATATAAAATGCAGGTTTTTTTTAGCTGAAATGCTCTGTCATGAGACACACACACACACACGCTCACATGCACACACACACACACACACACACACACACACACACACACTCTCACACACACACACACATACACACTCTCTCACACAAACACTCACTTACACACACACACACACTCACACAAACACACACACACACTCTCACACAAACACTCACTTACACACACACTCTCACACAAACACTCACTTACACTCTCACACACTCTCACACAAACACACACACTCTCTCACACAAACACTCACTTACACACACACACACTCACACAAACACTCACTTACT